TTAAAATTAAAAGATAATAATTATTTTAAAATATTAAAAATAATAATTATTTTAAAACATTATTTTTTTAACATTATTTAAAAACATTATTTGAATTAAAAATAATATCAATATTAAATATTATTATTTTGAGACTAAGGAGTATAGTGCTTGTCTTAATGGATTAGACTTTTATGCTCTAAACTAGAGGTTAAGAAAATTCCAGCTTTGAAACATTTGGAAGAGATTCAAGGAAAGAACTAACCTATTATAATTTTTGTTGTGAAATAAAAAATGCCAAGGGAGTCTTTATGGGTGAAAATTCAAAAAAGTTATGCTTACAATAGCACATAAGCTTGCACCAACAACTTATCAGTTTGAGTAAAAGAAATTTAGTTTCTTTTAAATAAGATTTTAAGTTCAAATATTATGAATAGAAAATAGATGTTAAAAAAAATTTTCTCCTTTTAAGGTTTCACATAATTCGATTCTAAATTAATTGAGATTTAAGGTAATGATCAAATATGAAGAGGTCAATATAAAAAAAATAACATATAGGCTTGTTGATTCTTGTTATATAATTTTTTTATTTTAAATATATATAATATTGTATATTTCTATTTAAAAAATGTTTATCAATTAAAAGTCTAAAGGAATTAAGAGAAAAAAGCTTTTAAAATAAATCATTTTAATAAATTTTTATTAAAAATATTAAAATAATATATTTTAAAATCAAAAGTAAGTTTATTTTGATTTTTTTATAATATTTTAATAAAACAATGTAATTTTACGAAATTGATCCTCTTAATTTTTTAAAAATTGACAAATAACAATCTATTTATTATTAATATTATATAAGAGTATAAGTACATCAATTTTTAAGAAAATTTGAAATATTGTTTAAAATATATATATATATATATTAAAGTAAAAACTATGAATGGAACCCTTTGCAAATATTAAATTGGTGGTACTATTGGGATAATTTTTTATCTCATTTTTTTATATAACTTTCACATGTTATTAAATTAATAGATGTATTCAATATCATTGATCTCATATGAATTAAAAAAATCAATCATTTTAATGATACGTCATATTGTATAAAAATATGAGATAAAAATGTTATAAAAAAGCATTTCCCATATTAAATTACTTTATAATTTTTAAATTGTGTTTCTTTTAACACATGATTAACTTACCATATTTAAAAACCTTTTTCTTGTAAAATGCATTGTTATTAAATTAATTAATTTAAATAACTAAAGTTTTCCTCTCTTAATTTTAACCCGAATTCGCACTGTCCAACATAAACCAGCTCTCCGTCTACACCATTTCTCTCTTATTACTCTTCTTCTTCCTCTCTCCATGAATTTCATGCTTACATTTTTCACTTATTTTCATAAATCTCTTTCTTTCTTTTCTCCTCTTCAGTATACCTCTCATTTCCCCTTAGATTTTACATCTATCTTCTAAATCCTTAATTTCAAAAGGATTTCAATTTAACTAAAATTTACAGATACTTCTTCTCTCTCTCTCTCTCTCTCTCTCTCCATTAATTCCATGCCCGCAGAGCTGGACACAAGCAAAGAGAGATTAGTAAAAATAAAATTTTAATCATTATATAAAGAATTAAGAAATATATATATATATCAAAGTACAAGTACCTTGTGCACGTTGGGGGCGGTGGCACTAAGTTTTTTCCATTAATTTATCCACATTCCATACATAAAAAAATACCGAAAAGAATATGTATTTTTTTATTAACGCACTAAATAATTTTAAATATGTGCGGAGGGCCCTAAATAATTTTTAAAAATAACAGCATAAAGGAAAGTAGACTAAGACAAAGAATTATTTTTATTATACCATAGTTTATTATTAATTTTTAAATTTTGAATTGTATAATGTAGATGATCACTGTTTATCTTTTTATTCACATCACATGCATATTTACTATTTAAATTTAAATTTTTTAAAAAAATTATCACTTTATAATTTCTAATTAAATTAAGAGAATAATACATATTAATTTTAATTTTTAAAAGATAGAGTTGAATCCTTAGCTGTCAAGTTCAGAGAAATAAAATAAAGAGATGAAATTTTTTTTAATTAATTAAAAATTTATCTTTCCATTCCTTCGACATTGCTCAATCTAAATATATTATAAATAATATTTATTTGTTTATTTAAAAGATAATTTAAAATTTAAAAATTTATTTTATTAAATATTAATATATAAATTTAGAATTGACATTTAATAAATTAAATTTTTTATTTTTAAATTATATTTTTATTAAATAAAGAACATAAAATTAAATTTTTTATTTTTAAAAAATAAATTTTATGCACATTTTTACTTTTTAAATTAAAATATTAAAAATATACATATCTAAGTACAAGTTCCCTGTGCACATCGAATCGCTGGTATCAATTATTTTATTTCCGTTATCCACATTCCCATACATAAAAAATTGCCAAAAATAATATATATTTTTATATTAAAGAACTAAATAATTTTTAACAGGTATGAAGAGCCCTAAATAATTTTAAAAAATAACGGCATAAGAAAGGTAGCCTTTGTCTTGGTAAAAGAATTATTTTTATTATACTATAACTAATGATTAATTTTTAAAATTTTGAATTACGTAATAAAAATTAACAATTATTTATTCTTTTAGCTATATCACCCATATATTTATAATTTAAACTTAGAATTTTCTTGAAATATTACCACAAGTCCTTAAATTAAAAAATTAAAAATATATATATCAAAATTCAAGTACCCTGCGCACATCGAGTCCCCGGTGGCAATTATTTTATTTTTGTTATCCGCATTCCATACATAAAAAATTACTAAAAAAGTATTTTTTATGTTTACTAAAAATAATATTTATTTTTTTATATTAAAGCACTAAATAATTTTTATTAAAAAGATAATAATATTATAAATAATAAATTATTTATTAATTTAAATAGAAAAAACTTGATTAAAATTTTAAATTTAAATTTTATAAATAAAAAAATAAATATTAAAAATAAATTATATAATTTAATCACCATTTGATTTTAAATTAATTAAAATTTATTGTAATTATTGAATAACAGGATATTAATAAAAAAAATCATAAACAAAATACATATATAGCGGCATCGGCAAAGAGAGGTCATGAATGAGGGTTTGGGAGGCGTAGGCATTTTCCCATCTTTTAAACAAATACTCACCCTGTTCTCATTCTCAACCCTCTCCCTTCAACTTTTTGTTTGGCTCCCAAGAAAAAAACAAAGAGAGAACCCTTCTCCCTTTTCAGGAAAATCATCATTGAGAATGGCAGAGACAAAGTCGAGATTCAGGAGGATTTGTGTTTTCTGTGGGAGCAGTTCAGGGAAGAAGGCTAGCTACCAAGAGGCTGCGGTTGAGTTGGGGAAGGAACTGGTAATACTAATTTGTTTGGATTCCCTTTCTATTTTTTCATGGTAATGAGTGTCCTCTCAAGGAATATATTCCCATTCTATTTTTCATGGTGTTGTCTTGAGAAAGTTTTCAAAGTTTTCAAAAAACCCAACATTCTTCATCAAACACATGTAATTTCTTATGAATCTCCAAAGCAATTTCTGAGAATATGACTTGATGCCATTTGTTTCATAAATGGGGAAAAATGTTTTGCTTCCTCCGTAAATTTCTACTTATTTATTGAATTTTCAATGTCTTTTTGTAGTACTTTCTTTTGGATCTCTGCAATGATTTTCTTTTCTTGATACCCTTCTTTTTCATCTTCACAAATCTCAAGTGATGCAACAAACAAGCCTTCAAACGTGGGCTTATGATTGTTGAGGAACTTCCTATAAGTTACAGGGTTTATGGTTGGCATGAGATAGTAGTGCTGCATAGCTGTAATCTCCCTGTCAGTTGAGCAGCATTCTTGCATGATCCCTTTTTTTTTTTTCAATTTAAATTTTTTCCTCAGTAAATAATTTTATAACTACCTCTTGCTCTTCCCTAGGGCAGCAAACGTGCTCTCTCGATATCATGAGGCTGAGCATGTTCTTACCTTGGGAGAAAACTTCCATGATTTTTGTTTATGGGTTCCATGAAATCCTTTTATGTCACTCACTACCCATCTCTTGTAGGGTTCTTATTCCACTTGAAATTGTTGCTCTGATCATCATCACAAATTAATTTAAATTAGTAGTGTAAATGGGTTATTGACACGTGTTAATAGGGTTTGGTTTTTCGATATGTGTTGTAGGTGGAGAGGAGGATTGATTTGGTTTATGGAGGTGGAAGCGTGGGATTGATGGGTCTTGTTTCTCAGGCAGTTCATGATGGTGGGCGCCATGTTCTAGGGTATGTTTCCAAGCACAAACACTACTAGATTATACCGCTCTTACCACTAGTTAATTTCCCCACACGTAGCTGTAATAATCTTTCTCTTACTAAACAATGTTGCATTACCCACAATTGTTGTTTTGTAAATTGCATCTAGATTCTAGAAACCATGCATGTTTTGTTTTCTTGAACCGCTCAAACGGCAGGCATCATGGGATCGAATGCTGGGCCAAATGAAAGAGGTGATCTGTCCCCTCTTATGGAAATTTGAAAATGGGTTGATAACCTGATTCTGAAAGACTAAAAAAAGTGACTTTTTACAAAACAGCTTTGATCGGCTGGATAAAGGTGAATCAGTTGCTGCTTTTTGTCAGTCCACACTGGATGGAACTTCCAGTTGGACTGGATAGTTTTCAAAGATTAAATCAAAGCATGGTCCATCAGATTGGGAGATCTGTCCTTGCATTGAGGGGCCTTTTATTTGATAGCTTATGTGCTGCAGTTTGGACGGTATTAAAGTTTTCTTTTGTTTGTATGCGATTTGGTTCTACAAATTAGAAGAAAATGTGGAACCTTTCTTACGAAGTGGACTGGAGAACTTCCTTTTCTTATGCATAGTTGAATTTTTGTCCTATTGAAATGACAATGATGCCCCCTAAAGGTTTTCTTTCAAACGTTTTGGACTTGGGACTCTACATTGCTGTAGTCTATATTTTTCAGGTAACATGTGAATGTTTCTTGTCTATTAACTAGTACCGATTCATGTTTTCGGGTTATGCAGTGTTATTCCAAGGACCCTAATGCCCCGAGAGGTATGTACATTCTGAAGCTTGAGATGGATCTTCTTTTCATTTTTCTGTAATAACTTCATGAAAATATTTCATTGATGCCAAATACGTTGGTAGAAAAAAAAAATAATGAAATCAATCTTTCTCAAATTTTGTAATGTTAATTAGTTTCTATACTGAATTTTGCAGATTACTGGTGAGACAGTTGGAGAAGTAAGAGCTGTATCAGATATGCATCAAAGGAAAGCTGAAATGGCACGTCAAGCTGATGGTTTCATTGCACTCCCTGGTATGGATTCCCATTCTTACGGCTTCTCTCTTAACATTATTATGGTCTGCCTATATGAATTCCATACATACTTGTCTCATTTTTTTGTAACAATATGTCACTAATATTAGGTGGCTATGGCACCCTCGAGGAACTTCTGGAAGTTATTACGTGGGCGCAGCTTGGAATCCACCGCAAACCCGTGAGAATAATTTCCTTTTTGTGGTCCCTAACTTCAATTATGCATATCATTGTTTTCTTTGGCATGACAAAAGGATATGTGCTGAAATTATTAGACTAATTAATTGTACAATAATTTCTCATTTTGGTGGTTATCTATTCCAAACAAGGCCATGTTAGACCTTGAGGACCGTGACATCCGGCCTTCCACTAGCGTATGAATGAATTGATGTTTTCCCTCGGAAGATTTGTGTCCGAACATTATTGTCTATCTTCCTTTGTTCACATGACATCATATGTTATTTGTTATGTAACTTGATCTAATTAATTTTAAAAATAGTTATATCATGTCTCCCCACTCAGTTTTGTGATTCTGTTGTGTGTGTTTGATTTGTCGTGCTTCTTGAGTACACAATTGTTTTCACTCGTGTTCCATTTGCTTAGAAGGCTAAGTTGACACGATTTTGTTATATCAACATCTTATTAAACGAATTGGTGATTAAAAGAATTTAGAAAGCTTAGGGAGGAAGAAATAGTGCTTTTAATAGTCATCACGAGGAAATGTGGCAAAACATTTGATATTCTAATCGTGCTTCTGCTCGAGACCACGTTATGTGGTCTGAACGAGCAGTTGGGAAGATATCTGCTTGATTTGGGATATATAGTTTATGGAGTAGGTTGGTCCAAGGTGTTTTAGTTCTTATTTTAGATCACTGGACAGAATAAAATTATCAAAATCTGATACGGGGAAGACTGGGATACAATACTTTTTATCTCATAGCTTCCATTTTATAATGTCATTGTGCAGGTGGGTCTGTTGAATGTGGATGGATACTACAACTCTTTGTTATCTTTCATTGATAAGGCCGTTGATGAAGGCTTTATTTCCCCCACCGCACGTCGCATTATCGTGTCTGCTCCAACGGCTAAACAATTGGTCAGACAACTTGAAGTAAGTAGTTTCCTTCTCTGGTAGTATGAAAGATTAAGAAAGTAAAGCACCATGGAGTGACTTTCGAACAATTTTCCAATAAGTTTCTCACTTTTACCCTCACATATATTCAGGTTCTTTATTAAAGTGAGGATGCTCTGAAATTGTTTTTGGACCATTGGAAAAACAATTTCACATTGAGTTTGAACCCAAAGTTAAAGAGGGATAATGTAATTAACTCTGATATTACACTTTCTTTGTTTTTGGTGCAGGAATATGTTCCGGAGTATGATGAGATAACATCCAAATTGGTGTGGGATGGGGTGGACGGACTGAGTTATGTGACCGAATCGGGTGTTGCCATGTGACATGGTACATCTCAGTTGCTATTCTATTATCTTCTTTTGGGGTATATAGGGGTACATACGGTCCATGGATACCGTAAGCAAGGGAACCTCCTTTTTTTTTTTTTTGGTTAATTTGGGACTTTGGGCGGGCAGAAGATGCCTAGTGTGGAGAAAAGAAAATGTGTAGTCTAAAGTTCCCTTTTTGTTAATTTGAAGGAATCAATTCAAAGCATGCTAGTTCCTTACATATATGCTTTTGTAGGTCAAAAGACTGAAAAACTCTAAACCGAAAAATAGTTTTCATTTGGCCTATTCCTCAAACTGGGTTGGCTTAAATATTCTTTTTCATGGAAAAGGAAATCACTAAAGAGAAAGACCGAGGTTGGAGGTCAGTACGGTACATAAAATTAGAAAAACCCAAGTCCCTTTATATACCGACGTCGAACTCACAACGTCAATGTTAACATTGTAATGGCATTTTATTTTATTTTTTAAACAAATTTGCAAAAATCGAATTCGGATTGTTGCTCTAAAAACAGTCTAAAAGTAAAGAATGTACTTATACGTGACTTAACGTCACAAGATCTAAGTGCATAACAGCATTTTATTACTAAGATATATGTAATTGATGTTGATTTCTTTCGTTGACAAAGGTATAACAACGCATCGATGTGATGTGATGCTTCATCTCTTTATAGAGATGGTGAAGATCCAACCAATAATGGGTGTATGGCCCTTTTAATGGCGATTAAGCAAAAATGTCAATCACATGTTTTACCTAACAATTTCTTGCTATGACTATATAGAAGAATAAATTCTTCACTTCAAGTTAGTATTAACATTATAGAAAAAATGTCTTAAAGATTAAGAGAAAAATTATTTTAAAATTATGTTATTTTAATAAATTTTTATTGAAAAAGATTAAATTATTTTATTTTTAAAACATGTATTAAAGTGATTTTTGTTTTTTTTTTTTCTTAATTTTTTGAAGATAAGACGGACAAGCACTAACCCCTAACATTATTACTAAGGATGAGTGGCCAATAAAAATAAAAAAGAGGGACAAAACAGGGAAAGACGATGGATAAAATCGTTTTTTCTTGCACCTTAACTTCAGACTTTTTTTAGTCCTTAGTTTTTACTTAAGGGGTCTTTGTGCAGGGCCTTGGGCGTTTTATTTTTTTATTTTTCATGCAATTTTGGTTTAAGGGTCTTTTAATATTTTATTTCTTAAGATTTTGCGTAAAATCTGTGCCTAACCCCTTTTATACTTAGTTTTGCCTTAAATCTAGCGCTGTTGCAAATATCCAGCATCAATTTACCCCCTCACATGGATATAAGACTTCTATAAGCAGGCAAATTATCTTCATTGCACTATATGTCAAATAGATTTTTCAAAATCAAACCCTATTCAAAAGATCTTTTTCTAAAGGTTTTGATCAAATATGTTTCAACTAAATTGCCATCACTCTCTTGCAAGGAATAAGAAATAAAGGAGACAGGATCGTATGCTAGAAATCAAATTTGTACATAAGACCTAGAACAAATCCAAATGATACTTTAGTCATAAAATACTACAAAAGCACACCAGAATTAGTTTCACTCGGTGAAGCTACTTCTTTACCATTCCTCTGCGATTGCCTAATCATTGGATGAGGATCTGCTGGTTTTTTAAGACCTAAACATAGATGCTGATATATGGACATAACAGCTGAATGATCTTTTACAAGGGCAGAACAATTCCGTGACTGCAACCAAAAATAAATTCCAGTGTGCTGTATTAAAGTTACGCAACTCTCTGCTTTAGAAGAACATGTTTTGCAATGAGAAAGGATCTAAATAATATGGAATCATGGATCATAGTGCAATTGCAAAGAAAACAACTTTAATTCACAAAATCAATTACCTGAAGCTAGATTGTTGTTGTTGTTGTAGCTAATTTCTAAACTCTAGAAATCCTCTTTCCAATTAACCAACTGAAAATTTATAATTCTTCAGCTACAAGAAGTAAGGAAACATATTAAGAACACAAATTTAAATAAACTTCTTGGGATAACATGAAGTTCATATTAATTGACAAATTGACAGAAGTTGGGAATTCACAAATGAGACATACCTTTTTGCCACTTGGAAACCTTAATCTGGGGATTAGATGTCCACTCCATTTATGTTGATGTGTGGAATGTGAGAAATCTTGGACCACTCAGGACCGCTTTTGCCACATCTTATCTCTAACTCTGGGCAGTCCAAGATACAAAGGCTTTTCAATTTAGAGAGGCATCGAATGGCTTCTGCAGAGGGGAGATGTTTCAGATTCTTGCAATGCTTAATCTTCAGGCATTGAAGAGAGGACAAATCTTTCAACCACTCTGGCAGAGCTTCCACTCCGTCAAATCCACTAATCGGTAAGTAACTTAGAGTAGTGAGTCGTTGAATTTCATGTGGCAATTGAGTTAGCTTTTCCCAACCAACCAAGGTCAACTTTTCAAGAGAGATATTGAGATTACTCAGACCTGGGAATTCCTCCAACTCATTTGAGAAAGCACCAATAGTCAATCTCTTCAAGCAAGCAAGGTGGCCCAATGTCTGCTCTTGGATAGAGACCAGATTAGGGCATTCACATATTTCAAGTGCTTCGAGAGTAGATGGCAATTCTGGTACATACTTCAATCGAAGGCATCTAACAATACACAGTGATTTAAGAAAGGATGTATTTCTTAACCACTCTGGTAATGTTTCCACTTCATTGAAATCAAATATTGCCAAACTCTTTAGAGAAGTGATATTTTGAATTTGATGTGACAACTCAGTTAGTTTTTTCCATCCAAATAAATCCAAATTTTCAAGGGATGTTTGGAGGCAGTGGATGGAACTGAGACTAGGGAATTCTTCCAACTCTTTTGAGAATCCACCAATACGCAATGTCTTCAAGCTAATGCAGCTGAGGGTATTTTCTGGAATGCTCCTTAATCTCGAACAACGTATAATTTCTAAATGAACCAATGAATGCAATTCCTTCAATTCTTCTGGAATAGAGATTAGGTTTTCACATCCACGTACCTTCAACACTTCGAGAGCAATGCAGGATGATAGCCCGCTCGGCAGGCACTCTATTCTATAACAATCAACAAGTGTCAACTTTTGAAGAGAGGTCAGCCCAAAAAGCCCAGGAATAAATCTCAGATCATCACATCCCCACAAAAATAATTCTTTTAGGCATTTGGAGGTTGATAGGGTATCTCCTATGTTACACAACGCAGGGCAAGCTTGAATGTGGAGTTTAAGGAGCAAAGATAACCCACTAATTGAAACACTTTCCAACATAGGACAATTGTATATTTCTATTTCTTTCAGGGATGGCAATGTAACAAATGTTGGAATGCTTTCTAGCTTCTGACACCCTTGAATTCTCAATTTCACCAAATTCCTGAGCAAAAATGATTCGCTAGCCAAACCACAGTCGCTTTTAGACATCCATGATGGCAATTTGTTACCTTCATAACCTTCTATAGTTAGTCTTTGCAAATTTGAGTGAGGTTGGAGGCCCTCCATAACATCTTCATCTTGATAGCTTCCTTTTCCCCATCTCAGTTCCAACTCATAAATTGCCTTCTCATGTAATTTTGCTTCCATGGCTTCTAATTTATCCTTAACAAGCTCAAGATTATGGATCTTTAAACTTCCTCTGAGCCTACTTAAACTGCCCAGTTCTTCAATTTTACGCCCCTGTGTAGTACCCACAAAGAACAGTGGCAATGTTTGAAGGCATGTTAGTCTCCCAATGTTTGTAGGCATTTGCTCTTCATCACTGAAGTAAATATGCCTCAAGTTGATTAAATTTTCTATTCCTTTTGGAGGCATTTTTAGAGATCTGCAGGTCATGAATCTAAATGTCTGTAAATTGTACAATTTGGTGATGAACTTGGGCAGTTTTGTTATCCGAGTTCCCGAAATGTCTAAATACCTCATACTCTTCATGTTGCCAAAACAGGGCGGAAATTCTTCAATATCAACATCATCACAAGAGCTGAGAACACGCAACCTTTTAAAATTCCCTGACATACCATGGGGGAAACCATGCCTTGAAAACAAAGTATGTAGTTGAGCATCATCTGGTAAAGCCATCGGCACCATTTCCCTACCACAAATTAGATTTAAATGCCGAACTTTAGAAATGTTGCTCCAACAAGAAGTTTCCAAAATCACCGTCTCAGATTTTGAAATTAATTGTGCAAAATCATGAATCAAATCATGCATTTTACAAGTGGTGATGCTCCCAAATGAATCCTTTTCATCCATTTGAAATAAAGAATATGATAACAGGTCATTGAAATACTCATTACCGATATCCTCCATCGTCATAGTACTTTCTTCAGACAATTGAATAAATCCTTCAGCCATCCAAAGCTGAATTAACATCTCCCTTCTCATTACAAAATCCTTGGGAAAAATGGAACATAGTGCAAAACATTGCTTCAAAGTTGGATGTGGCAAGCGATCAAAACTCAATTTTAATACATGCATGATTCCATTATTCTGAATTTCAAGTGAACCCATTGCATCAATTTTGATCTTAATGGATAACCACTCTGCTGTACATGGCCTTTTTATGCACAACGTCCCCCCTATAACACTTGCAACTAATGGCACCCCTCCACATTTTTTGGCAATATCCCTTCCAATTTCCACCAATTCTAGAGGTGCAGAATCATCCCCAAATACTCTCTGCATGATTATACACCAGCATTCATCATCATTTAGTGGTTGAAGATGATGCCTGTGTTCAGGGCGTGTTTCCATTATCAATGCAACATTTTCATTTCGAGTTGTCACAACAATTCTGTTCCCTGATTTCTTACTTATTCCCAACAAACAACTCTTTAGGTCTGCCCATTTTTCACTTTCTTCATTCCACACATCATCCAAAACCAGAAGATAGTTATTCTCCCCCAATTCATCTCTTATTTTTTGAACCACAGTGTCCTTGTTCCTAATTGCACAAGAATTCTTGGTAAGAGACTCAAACATTTCTACTACTATCCTCTCCACATCAAAACTTTCAGATACACAAACCCACATAATTTTTCCAAAATACTTTTGGATCTGCATATTATTACACACAGATTTTGCCATGGTAGTTTTGCCTAGACCAGGCATACCTACTATAGACAAGACACAAAGGGGCAATTCATTAGTTGAATCAGTCAGCAATTGCACCATTCTAGAGACATCATTTTCTCTCCCCACAACACGTGAGGGATCACCAATGAAAGAGTGAGTCTGTGGGTTGCTCCTATCTTCAGAAACTGTTACAGCAAATCTTGATTGAAGTCCAAACTGTTGGGCCTCATAGTTAATCCGATCCACCGATGCAATGGTTTTCTTAATTTTATTACCCATCTTGATGCGAAATGCAATGGGATTAGAGTGAGTGAAGAAGAAACACACCTTTTTCTTCATCTGGTTTTCAATCAACACCTTGCGCTTCACGCTTTCATAAGCAACTTCATCAAGCACATCATCAATCTCACGAGCCACATCCTTGAGCTTCTCAAGCCAGTGCTTCACAGCAAGGTCTCGTACTCTTCTCTCCTCTGCGTCTTCCAACAGATACTTGATCATGGTGAGTTTTTCTTGGAGCGTTGCAAGCTCCCGCCTCCAATTGACAGCAAGGCTGATTTTCCCAGCAGCAACAGATAGCAACTTGGATATCGTGGTACTTATGATGGGACTTAGGAGAAGGTCAGCCCATCGTGGATCCATAATTTGGAGAAAAGGAAATTCTTGGAGTTGGGAGATTCTGTGTGAGAAAGAAGAAAGATGATGGTGAATTTAATGGCTAAAACCAACATTTAGCACCTTCCTTGTAAAATTGTTAGGTTTGAGCTCCTAACTTATAATATGATATGAGACTTTTAATTTTTTATTTTATAAAAGGTTTTAACCCCTCACATTATAAAGTTAATAAGTTTTACTCTTTCATTTTATATTATGACATTTTTAACCCCTTATCTATACGAATTAATATGAATTAAAAAAAATAACCTTTATTTAACATCAAGTTTTAATATTTTATTAGTTCTATTATCTAACTGTCAGTTTTGTTAATCAACTGTCAGTTTTATTAACTAACTGTTAGTTCTATTAATTGACTATTAACATCCATTAGCATTCCGTTAATAAAACTAACAAATAAAATTGAATTTAAATTTCATATTTTTTATAATGAAATGCTAATAAATGTTAACAGTCAACTAACAGAACTAACAGAATGTTATAATCTGATATTAGGTGAAGGTTATTTTCTTTAATTTGTATCTGTAATAGACTAAAAATATCATAATATAAGGTAAATGGTTAAAATTTACCAATTTTGTAAGATGAGATATTAATACTTACTAATTTTGTAAGATAAAAGGTTAAAATTATCATATTATAAAGTAAGGAGTTAAACTCTACTAATTTTATAAGGTGAGGAGCTAAATGTTGGTTTTTGCCAAATTTAATTCAGAGTTTGTTTACAAAACGAAAGCTCCTATTGAGAACAAAACAGCACCACGCGGAGAACAAAACAGCATTACGCGTTGAATAAAAATATCACCGAACAACGACAATATTGTAGTCTACCTTTTTCTTTGAAAAGCATATCGTAGCCTGCCATTAACTATGTGAAGAGGAGAATTTCTAATATCCAGAGCACTTGCCTCTCCATTAATAGTTATAAGAGGTACTATCATTTTAGGTCTTCTGTTTTTTCATGGTGGATACATTTGAGTGGAGTCAAATGGGTTCAACCATCAATAATTATAAGAAGTATTGTCGTCTTAAGTCTTCTGTTTCTTTATAGTAAGTACACTTGAGTGGAGTCAAGTGAGTTCCATCATCAATAGTTATAAGAAGTGTTGTCATCCTAAATCTTTTGTTTTTTTACAGTGGATGCACTTGAGTGGAGTCAAATGAGTTTAGATTGAATTACCCTAGCTCTCAACGACATAATTTCAATTTTAAAGATTTGAATCTTAAATTCCAATTTAATATATAGACACATTGTGACTTAGCACCAACAATGATATTTTATTAATTTTAAAACTTTAATTTATTGATAAATAAATATTATTTTATAAGTTAAATTTAAAATTTAAATCTTAAAAATAATACTTAAAAATTTAATGTTCTTAAATATACCATGTGGGTGTTAGTGTTCGTCTACGGAGGGATTAGAAAAGTAGTTCATTCCCCACGGAACGCTTGAACATAAATATAAAAATGGAAATTATCTCTGAGGCTGACCAACTTACTAATCAAGCAGATGCCATCCAAGACAATGCTGCAATTATCCATCATGGGCTTGCTCCTCACATCCTCAAATCTTCTACATAAGCCAAAAAGTAATCTTAATTGCACCAGTTGTCATATAAGTTTCTCAAAATCAAACACTAAAACAAATTCTTTTAAAATGATTTTGTATAAAAAATCATTCAATTGACTAATTGATGTCTATTCCCTTTTTAATATATTTCAATTGAGAGGAGTCAAGAATTTTTTTACCAACTATATTGTAATATTTAAAAGCCTTATAATTTGATTAGTTAAAAAATTCTTTCCTCCTCTCCCTCTCCTCCATTCCCATCTATTCTTTTAGAATCAAACATACTACCAAAGAATAATAAATTATTAAAAGTTAGTGATATCTCATATCCATTTTACTTAAATTACCAAAATTCATACAAACACAAGTATTATTCATTGAAATTTCATATTTATCCTTATTAATAAATAAAGTTGAGATGTAGTATTCTTTTTAAGAATAGAGTAACTATTAATAGGTACAAAAAGAAAAAAAGAAAAAAAGAAGAGACTTCAATATTATGATTAAAAAAATTAATTAATTAATTAATTAATTCACCCCCTTTTAAATGTGTAACAAGTAAAATAAATTTGAGGTGGTACTAACATTATTACTAACAACATTATTGGCCAATATTAATATTCACTTAGTGAAAGAGCTCATAAATTGAAGTCATGATTAAATTTATGATTTGAAATCCATTTATTTTTTTTCCGCGATCAACACCTTCCAGAATTTTTCCTCCCTATTCACACCCTCCATTTTTCAAAACCCATAAAAAACCCAATATTTTAATGGGCCGTTACGGCACCGTTAAAAAATGCACTACGTGGCACCCAGAACTTTACGTGGCACATGCGGCGTTTTCTTATTCGTTAGGTTCAAATGTGGATTTGCTTTTTGATGATGTGGCGTCCACGTGTTCAGTGGGGCCCACTGTGCAGGACTTTTCCCGCTTGTCCCCGCGTCCCACCAAAAAAAAAAAAAAAA